ATCATTTATTAAACTGATTTTGCAGTTGTTTGTTCTGGAGACAAAATTTATAAATATGGTCACTGTACTGTTGTAAGATGCCAGGGAATTACAATGCTGCCAGGAAATATTGGCATGCCTTGGAAAGTTTACTTGTCAAGGCAGAGATGCTGATTGCATAACGCAACAATGGGATTACTTTGTGGTTACTCACAGAACTGTTTTAGACACAGCGAGGGCATTCCTGTCATATAAGTCAAAAAAATATATCGCCAAAAAGGTGGCTCACACAAGATGGAAAAAATGAGCAAGCAATAATACTTTATGAATAAATCAGTTTTATGTATGTCTATTATGGTATTTTATTGTCTTTTATAATGTATTGTCCATATTTCATTGTAAAAACCTATAAGCATTTTTTAAAATGTTAACATTTTTTGAAACATAAATGTCTGTTAAGTTATGTTCATTTGTCACTTACGCTCACTGCGCGTGCGTAGTTCGAGCACTGTCAGATTATGTAGATAGTCTCATATGGAGACGTTCACCGTGTCCGTGAAATGCAAAACTCACCTTTATAGGTTTGAGCACTGTAATGATTGTACAACACAATCCATATAAAGTGTAACCGTAGGTCTTGTGACCCAAGTGCAGGAGTCACCATTTTATTATGGTGATAGCCGGGAGGGAGGGCACATTGTATATACACTTTGCATATATGTGTAGTGGTGTTGAGAAAAAATCACAAAATTACAGATTCATCATGATAAGCCTGTTTCGCGATTGCTCACTTTTTTATGGGATTTAATGAATAATATACTTAAATGCATAAATACATATACAAGATGACGGAAGTTAGTGTATTAATCAAGGTGTATAGTTACAAGTTAGATGACAGAAGTTAGCGTATTAATAAGGTGTATGGTTACAAATTACATAGCAGTGTTTTCGATCTATGGCAACAAGAGGAAACAAGTTTGTTGCGTTTATTGAGGGATGATTTGGATGGTTGGTAAAGGATGAAGAATTTTTCTTTGAGGCAAAGGTTGCATCTTTTACTAGTGCTGTTGTATAGTTTGCTGTGTTTGATGATGTTCCATGATGAGTCGTGGTCAAAATTGCTGTCTTTAATGGTCCAAATGTGCTTACTGAACTCGGTCGAGTTTTGTAGTTTTTTGTGGCGGAAAGAGGCAGTGCGATTTCTATGTCTAGTCTTAAATTTGTTTTCAGTAAGTCCAATGTACTTCTCAGTTGTGTTATTGCCTTTGCGTTTCACAGTAGCTTGGTAAACGACGGATGACTGCAGGCAGCTTCCGTTTAGTGGGCAGTTTTCCTTTTGTATGTGTCTTTTTGTTCGCGGTGTTGTCGTTAGTTTTGTCGGATGTTCTCAGAATATATTTTTTATGGTTGTTGGTTATTTGTTCGATGTTGTTCATGCAGCTGTAGCTGAGTTTCATGGTGTTACGGTTTAATATTTTCCTGAGTTTATGGTCTATGTGGAAGTGTTTGTCGATTAGTTAAAGGAATTTGTGGCCAATGTTCGTGTAGACGTTTTTGCTAAATCGAGGGTTGTACCAAAGTATACTTTGTCGAAGTCGTAAGAAAAAAGTAGTTAGAGCACGAAGATTCTGGACAAGACCAGAACGAGCAAGAGCTTGGCGGGACAAATTTGATAGGGAAATTGTCGTAGCAGAGGAATCGAGGGAGAACTTCAGGATGAGCAGAGAATCTTTCAACTCTCTGGCGGAAGATATAAGATCATACATTAAAGGGAAAAACGCTATAATGAGGACATCAGTCGACTTTGTTAAGCAAGTAGCTGTCACAATATTTTATTTGAGCAACGAGGGCTGTATGCGTAAAACAGCTAACACTTTTAGACTTTTACGGCTATTCGTGTTTAACAATCGTCCTGAAAGTGTGTAAAGCAATAACAATTTATCTTGGTCCAAACTATATTAAGCTTCCAAGGACCGAGGAACAAGTAAATTGTCTGGTGAAAAAGTTCCATTGAGCGCTCGTTTCCCTCATTATTTGGGAGCAATTGAGGGAATCCACACAAAACTTAGGCAGCCTAATGCGAACTTAACAGATGACATCAATCGTAAATGTCGTTATAGCCTTAATGTACAAGCTTTTTGCGATTATAATTATTCTTTCTTGGATGTTGTTGTCAAATGGCCCAGTAGTGTACATGATGCTAGAGTATTTTAAACTCTAGTCTAAATTCCTTCATAAAGAGCGGAAAAATTCTTCCATGCAACGTACAATACCTTTTGATTAGGATCCTGTGCCAGTATTTATTCTGGGAGATCTTACATACCCACTTACGCCGTATGTTATGAAGGAAAATTCAAATGGTCAACTGTGAAAATTCAGTGGGTGAACTGTGCAAGAACAATAATTTGGTTTGACCTTTTGCAAGGCTTGCATGGTAACATAATGTTCCTTAGGCCATCTTAAAGCTAGATTTGGAGCTTTAAAGAGAGAAATGGATATAAATATGGATGAGCTGCCATGAGTCATTTATGCATGCTTTGTGCTTCATATTTACTCTGACAAAAACATTAAAAAGATTGGAGAAGAAGATGTTTCCTCCTACATTGATTACGATAGAGAGTTTCAACCAGCTGTTGTTGCTAAAAATTTCACCACTGATTGCAATGAAAGTGAGGAAAAGTAAACAAGAAGGATTTTGACCAAGTATTTTAATCTTTGAGAATCTGACGTGTTTGAAAAATGTAGAACAATTTGCACCAAGATTGACTTTGTTACAACATTGATATATTGATCTTAAGTTTAATTATGTAAGAAAAGTTTTATTTTAACATAACATTAATCTACTTAATTATGGGTTTATTTAATGACATACATTTTTTCAAATTGTTCTATTAATGCTGTCTTTATGAAAAATAAACTCCGCAAATATATTTTCGTTCTTTTTATGAATAATTGGCGAACACACCTCATTGTTCAGGGTATCTTGGATGTAAAGTTTATCATGACAACTTACTCTGGCTTGTGTGTATTGTACATAACTATTTGAATGTGGATGTGGAAAAGGTAAAGAATTATATTCAGGGACATGTTGTATTGGAAATAAAGTAGGCTGCATCATTGACTGCAGCATTTCAAATCCATCAGCCATAGACCCTGTCAGCTGCTCCATGCTGGCAGTTAGTCGTGCCAAGTGTCCTCCTGATCCATTTCATCAATTTTTCTAGCATTCTTTTCTTCATTTCTTCTAGCATCTTTTTCTAGCATCTCTTCTCCTGTTAATCTTATCCGTTCATTTTCTGATGGGATTTTTTTTCTTTTTAATTTTTCTTGTTTGTAGCTTCTCAAATTTGCATCAAGCAAATTTCTTCTTTATTACGTTCAGACTCCTGCACTTCTTTGGAGGTCTCCATATTGTCTGTTTCTTGTGAGATATCGCTCTTAAAGTTTGTTGATGATGCAGGACTCGAAGAAGTTGAAGATGAATTTATTGGGTCGACTGTTATGTCTACAGACTCAAATCCAGCATTTATTGTGGATGTAGTAGGGGATCCTCCACATAGAGCTTCACAAAATTTGAAGTACAAAAGAACTACACTTCAATGTCTACTTTTCTTTCCACTATCGATGGCTGCTCTGTATTTGTACAGTATTGCCTTGAATTTTGCTGGCTATTATTACTTTGGTAATATATTCTTTGTTGTAGGAGAAATCTTTTTCGATATCGTTGGCGTTTTCTGTGGATGGATATTGCCTTTTAAATAAATCAAGTATATCTAAGTACTTCCTCTGACAAGATTCCCAGTCGATGTTCTTAACGGTTTGTTCAAACTTGTACTCTTCCGTAACTTTAAGGAGAAGCTCGACCTCATCATATGTCTAAATATAACATTCGACTTTACCTTTTCCTTTGGTGGAGCCTTTATTTGACTGGCCATTCTAATTTTCATTCAAACTCCCGAAATAAAACAAACAAACTGCACCGCGATGCCAAAAGTAAAGAGATGTTGCTAAATATTGCCAAAATTTGGATGCTGCAAAAGCTTGACGAATCTCTTGTTACAAGTAAATGCGCATGCTCTGTGTTTCATTTTCTCCGTTTTTGCGTATACGTGTTGACAAGCGAAAACGATTCAAATATGTAACGTGTCGACGCAAATCTTTACTGAAACGGAAGGAAAAACTCCGTTTTCAAAAACATTCGTATACGTGTGGACGGGCAAAAGTCTATAACAATAAATTGATAAACGGATAGAACTTTTTGAAGCTTTGAAATTTCACTCAAACCACAATTACCAGGCAAAATATTGGCACTTTTGTGAAACTTCAATGCTAACATTTTTTTCCATATGTCTACCCATTTTAATTTGTTTCAAATTAGGATAAGGGTAGGCCATTCCTTTAGCTATAACTAAAGTTCATGCACAGCAAAGATTATCTCTATTTTTGATGATTACAATAGATTTTTGATCACTCATAATGTCTTTTACTTTTATTTGCGTAATCAGTAGGGATTGATCGTCTAATTTTGCACGGTATATACATTACGAAGCACAGAACTTCCGAACATATCGCAGCAAAACTTTTTCAAGCAGAAATTTCACAGATTTTCTTCCTTTTTTGTATAATTATTTATATTATTTCTTTTTCCACTAGTTGGCACTCTGCTGTATCAGCTTGGTAGCTTTTTTTGCTATTTTAAAACTTAAGATATTTTTCTGATTGCTCGAGTTTGCAAACGTTCAAGTTTTTCTTTTCACTCATGATCAAGTGACTGAAAAGAAACAGCTAGTGGAAACCAACAGGGTGATAGGATTAATCATTGTAATAAGTCTTGTATTTAATGCCGGGCTTAGATAAACACAGGTTCTTATATACATTACACATGCATATTAAATAAGGAATTAACTACGTCATTACAGCATATAAATATAATTAGGCATGCAATGTCACATCTCTTTTTCTTCGGTTTTTTTAAATAATGTCACACTATAAAAAATTTTTTGTTTAACTTATTTTTTTTTCTAATAAGAATATCTATTAGGTTTTTTAATTAGACGTCCATACCGAGTTCTTATATTACTGTTGTTAGTACTTTCATTACGATTTTTATAAGATCTATTGTTCTCAGTATAAGACTTATCTGTATCTTGACTTCTCGATTCTTCATTAATCTTTAATAGATGATTTCTATTCCTTCTATAGTAGGTACCATCAGACGTAACCAAATACGATCTTGGCTCAAGTAACGATTTTTCCACGATTCCTTTCTTTTGGAAGCCTTTTTCTGTTTTTATACGTACCTTATCTCCTTCTTTTAATGGTGGAAGTGTTTTTGCATTGCGATCATAAAACTCTTTTTGTTTCTTGTGATACATTTCCAATTTTTCTTTAACCTTCACAGGGTTTAATGGTTGAAATTCAAGAAACTTCTCTGATATTGGTAGTAATGTCCTAGTTCTTCGTCCCATTAGTCGTTGAGCTGGAGTGCCAACAATTTCATCTCTAGATGTATTTCTATAATTAAGGAGTCCTAAATAAGGATCGGTGTTATCATATTTTGCTTTCTTTACGATTGCTTTTGCTGTCTGCACAGCACGTTCTGACATGCCGTTACTTTTTGGATATCCTGGTGAACTTGTTGTATGTTTAAATCCATACTGTAACGAGAATGCACGAAATTCTTTACTCCTGAATTGTGGACCATTATCTGTTATAAGATCTTCGAAAATTCCATATCTCGCAATTTGAGATTTCATCTTTGTGATAACTGTTTTTGATGTTGTATTTAACAAGTAATTAATTTCAAAGAATCCACTGTAGTAATCTACCATAAGAAGATAGCTTCTACCATTCAATTCAAACAGGTCTGCTCCAACTTTACTCCACGGTCGATGTGGTACAGTATGTGATTGTAGAGGCTCCTTTTGTTGATGACTCTTATGGGCATTGCAGATTTCACACTTTCTAACTTCTGCTTCTATTTCTAAGCTCAACTTTGGCCAATATAAACACTCTTGAGCCCTACGTTTGCATGATTCAGATCCAAAATGTCCTTGATGTATAGCTTTCAACATATCAGTTCTTAATGACTCAGGAATTATTACTCGATCTCCTTTAAACAGTAGGTCATCTTGTACTGAAAGAGTCTCTTTAAAGTCCCAGTAATTTAAAACATCCAAATCAACTTTACTGCGTAGATCTGGCGATCCGTTTTCTAGGTACTGTCGTAGCTTTTTCATGGCTTTATCTTTCTTTGTCTCTTCCTTTAATTGGTTCATTTTCTCTTCACTTACTGGCAAGACAACATTTATCTCAAAATCTTCTAAGTGATCATCTGATTCTTCTTGGATATACGCTCGACTTAATTGATCCGCGAGATAAAGTTCTGCTCCTTTCTTAAACAAGACTTTCAAACTGTACTTTTGAAGTTTCAGCAACATTTTCTGGAGTCTCAATGGAGATTGATGAAGGGGCTTCTTGAAAATCTGCTCTAAGGGCTTATGATCTGTTTCAACATTGACATCTCTGCCATAGATGTAATCATGGAATTTTTCACATCCAAATACAATTGCAAGTAATTCTTTTTCAATTTGTGCATATTTCTTTTGGCATTCAGTTAAAGCTCTCGATGCATAAGCAACTGGTTTGCCATTTTGAAGACAAACTGCTCCTAATTCTGACATACTTGCATCTACGGACAATGTCACATCTTTTCATACATCGTAGAATTGCAATACAGGATGCTCTCCACAGGATTTCTTGATTCTGTCATACACTATTTGATGTTGATCTAATCAGCACCAATCATTTTCCTTCTTTAACATATCTCTGAGGGGACTTGCCATTTCTGAAAGATAAGGAATAAACTTGGCCAAATATTGAACAATTCCAAGAAATCTTTGAAGATCTTTCTTATCCTTAGGAATTGGCATGTTTAATATTTCTTTAATCTTTTCAGGATCGGATTGAAGACCATCTGACGTTATTTTGTGTCCCATGTAATCTACATTTGTTACTTTAACTTTTGTTTTTTCTTTCTTTAATTTGAGATTGATTTCACGAGCTCTATTTAGCACATTGATAATTCTTTCATCATGCTCTTTCTCTGTTGTTCCCCATACTAAGATATCATCCATTATAATTTCACAACCGTCTATTCTGTCAAACAGCTGGTGCATAGCTATTTGGAACACTTCAGGTGCTGAGGATATACCAAATGGGAGACGATTGAATTTGTATCTGCTAAAAGGCGTATTGAATGTTGTAAGATAACTGGAATCTTCATCTAGAGGTATCTGCCAAAATCCAGAGACTGCATCGAATACGGAGAAAATTTTAGCTTCAGGTAGTCTTGATACGACTTCTTCTATTGTTAAGAGAGGGTAATGTTCTCGCTGAATGGCTTCATTAAGATGTCTAGGATCAATACATATTCGTAACTTGTTTGGTTTTTCCACTGTTACCATTGACGAAACCCATTCCGTAGGTTTTTCTACAGGATCGATGACACCCATCTGTTGCATTCATTCTAACTCTTCTTTAATTTTCGTTCTCATAGCTACTGGAACGCGTCAAGGAGGATGAATTGTAGGTTTTACATTTGGATTGACACTGATATGATGTTTAATGGGTAAACATCCTAGTTTGCCATCGAAGAGATCTGCATATTCTTTGAGAATATCGTCGCTAGTTAAAATAGGTTTGACATCTTTAATTCTTTTCACCATACCCAAACGCTCGCAATCAGGTAAACCAAGAATAGGCTTTACATCGTGTGTCGCTATATAGAAAAGAAGATTGTATCGTTTGTCTTTGTAACAACACGTCATCACTGCTTGTCCCAAGGTTTGAACTGAATCTCCACTATACGACATTAGCTTTGTATTTGTTTTGGTAACTTGTTGCTCAGCTTCTGTGACTTTGTCGAACAATTTTTTAGAAAGCACATTATATTTTGCGCCTGTATCCACCTTCACGTTCACCAAATGTCTGCCAAACTTGAGTTCAGAATACCACTCGTCTTTGATTTTTCTACAGCTTCAATATTCATTCGATAGTCGACTTTCGAGCTTGTGCGTTGTTGCGTAGGTGTGATTGCATTAACAGCACCAATAAACAATTCTTCATCACTAACTTCATGAACTGTTCTTTGTGACTTTTGTGTAGACGTTAGACACACCCGAGCAAAGGGGTTTTTCTTATGACATTTGTGGCAAATTTTTTCAAAAGCTGGGCACTGCTTTGGAAGATGTTTTCCTCCACAGTTTCTGCAATTGTTCTTTAATACGAATCTTTGTCCTCGATGTTTATCTTCTTTTGTTGGACTTTCGTTTGTGTAACTTCCTCTTGAGGTTTTCGAATTCTTCCTAGCCTTCAGTTCATCGATATCTTGATAATTAGTAAGATCTTTTACTTGTTGTTCCGACAATTCGTTTGCACTGCATATGTTTAGAGCCTTGTCTAAAGTTAAACTTGTTTTGCGAAGGAGAATCTTTCTTACTGCATCACTGTTAATCCCACACACAATACGATCTTTAATAAGTTCGCTCTCGAGGTCACCAAACTCGCACTTTCAAGCAATGTTTTTCAAATCTGTAACAAAGGAACTAATTTACTCTGACGGACTTTGCTTCCTTGTATGAAATAAATGTCTTTCGAATGTTAAATTCTTAAGCGGCATACAAATTTCTTCAAATTTCTTCACTAGAATTTCCGGATCGTCTTTGTCTTCCTCTTCGTTGTAGGTAAAAGAATTATATCTTTCAACCGCATCTTCGCCAGCTAGATTTAAGAGGATGCATGACTTTTCTTTCTTTGATTTCCGACTATGTCCTGCAGCAACAATGTATATTTCATAGTTCTGTTTGAAGCGACGTCAATTCTCAGCAACGTTGCCTTCAAACGAGAGTCATGTTGGCCTAGAAAATCCTTCTGCCATTCGATAAGAACAAACTTTTCCTAATCGCTACCACCATGTAATAAGTCTTGTATTTAATGCCGGGCTTAGATAAACACAGGTTCTTATATTCATTACACATGCATATTAAATAAGGAATTAACTACGTCATTACAGCATATAAATATAATTAGGCATGCAATGTCACAATCATAACAAGTAATGTTCACGGGTCTTGTATATTATAAGCACACACACATATAGCAGTCCTCTACAAAACGTTTATTGTAAGCAAAATTTTGAAGGTAAGTAAAGCGACAATGCATAAATGCAATGCTATTATTATTATTATTATTGTTATTATTATTATTATTACTAGTTCAGAGTTTACTCGTCATCCTGGAATGGTTTGTTCTTTTCTCGCCTTAATAACAGTGAAAGTTTTGCACTCTTTTTCTTTTTGACTGTTTTCCACTTTTTTCACATTTCTTTTTTTCATTATAACTTCACTATACATTGTAATGTTGCCCAGTGGAAGAGATTGCACTTTTCATGGTTGAGAATTGCATCGCATCAAAAATATGGTCTTTCTGGATTAGTGGTCGATTGAGAGACCCAGAGACTGCACGGATATCCGCATTTGCAAAAATTAACCGGATGGGCTTAAACTCTTTCAGCACTTTCTTATCGTAGATGGCCATGAGAGTTGGATACCTTTCCTCTGGAGAAAACAGCGTATTACTCTGGCCTCTGCATTTTATAAGCTCTTTCAGTTTTTTTTTATACAATTCTTTGCAATCCTGCACTCGGGAAACAAGGGTATTTTTCAATTGCTACTAGATTGCAATTACTATCATGTAATATCATTTATAAACTACTATGATATCATATTATATTTTCATATTTTTATATTTTAACTTTAAAATCCATTTTGCGATGTCATTACTAATGAAGACATTATCTAGAAGCTTGCTTGCATGCGCTAGAAGCTTGCTTACATGCGTAAACATATTTTAGAACCGCAACCGCATTTGTTGTTATTGTGGTTAACTATATCTTGCTGTAACATACCGTATTGCGTATGGGATGTAGGTCACAAAACCAAAATACTTCCCTTTAGATATTATCTATATATGAGTACTTTAGACAACTGGGTACGACCTATGAGGACAACCTACGAGGAGACAAACTTAGGAGGCATAGCCTACCGAAGTTAAGTTGACAAGATACAATCTACTAGACAACTTACTTTGCTTCTGTGCCATAAATATATTTTGGCTTCTCTGCCATAACTATCTTTTGGTTTCTCTGCTATAAATATTTTTGGCTTCTTTGCCATAAATATCTTTTGGCTTCTGTGCCTTTAATCTATTTGGATAACTATTGAGTCATTGTTAGACTCACGATTGCTAAAGAATATATACTTGCGGTTGTACTCAGACAGAGGAGATAAGATTTACTCATACTTTTTGATATTATTATTAAGACACTTATCTACTTTAATATTTATGCGTTGATTAATAATTGTTTGAGAAATTTAACTGGTTCACACTATCTTTTTGCGTGTGGAAATAGAACCAAAATTAATAGTTATTCTTTCGGGACCACGCACGTAACACAATAGACACCATGATGATTATAATGATGGTTTCTCTATGCTTTTGTGCCACAGATTTACCTCGTAAGTAAAACACAGCTCAGCAGAAGTGCAGCAAGATCATTTTCACCACCTTTTTAAAATTGTTTTAGTGAACGTAAATTATAATTTACAAGCACATAGTCTTCTTTGAAAAAGAATAGATTACATTCACAATGTGAAATCTTAAGTTCACGTGTAAAACTAAAGATTGTTCAGATCAGTAATCGCCGTATTAGTTCCATTGTTAGATATCTTCGCTTAGGGTCTTTATCATTTTTTATGCATTACACTTCAATGTAAAGTAAATGGTTTGAGCCTGAGAGTATCGTTACATGTTTGTAAATGTAGATCGTCCAGGTTGGTAAAGTCCTGAGAAGGACTGTTTTTTGTTGTTGTCGACTGACGTTTCGACAACCTTAGCGGTAGTCATCTTCAGAGTCAAATAAGGAGTAAACGTAATGTTAGCTGTATTTGTTATCTGTTTCTTACGTCATTGTATTGTGCGGACAGGAAATGAGTATGGTAAGTATGAAGTAAAATATCAGTCAACAACAACAAAAACAGTCCTTCTCAGGACTTTACCAACCTGGACGATCTGCATTCACAAACATGTAACACTTCAGTGTTGTTGCAACACTTACAATGCCAACACTTGTTGGAAACGATCCTTCCAGACTTATCCACACTGCTTGTATCTTCCGAAAAGCTTTTGTCATTCCATGCATCTTGTCCTTCAGTAAGATGCCACAATTGTTAATGGGCCTTATCCCAAATGCAAATTTTCCCCATATTGAAATTAAAATCATTTTCACAATTAAACGAATACATATATTTTCCTAATATTCTTTTTATCTAATTGAATTTCTTTGTGTTTGTAAAAATATAAAATAAAATCGTTTAGTTTATCTTCATTAAAAGTTTTATCCTCATTATAACATTCTGCAGTAGTACCACTATTTTCCTTTTTCATTTTCATATAGGTAGTTACAAATTGACCAAAAATTTTAACTTTATTTTCTTAATGATAATTTTCATATATTTACTTATTCGATAACCAATTTCAATAGCTTTATTTATCTGAAAATTAGTCCATGTTCCCCTCAGTGCTTTTTTTTCATCATTACGATTGCAATTTTTATTTTTTTCCA